TTTAAAAATTACCAAATTTGTTATATATTCGGTATAAGACTTGTCGTTCGTCCCTTGCCAGTTGCTTCACTAGTATGACCTTCTTGTTGTGGATGGTGATGTGGCAGCGCTGGAGGGGATATCTCTGCCACGTCTGGGCCTCAAGCGTATTATGACTCAGGAGACAGGTGGAGGGTCGGGGAGGGGGAGGGTAGGTGTGGTGATTAGGGTGTAAGAGGGAGGATGGGGGTGAGGTGTGGTAGGTACGGTGGGAGTGGGAAGTGAGTGTGTGTGTGTGTGTGGTGCTTGGAAAAGAAAGGGAGAGGAGAAATGGTGGTGTGGTTAGGGTGGAAACGTGTGGTGCTGTGGTAGAGAGTAGGTGGTGTGGTTGATAAGGGATATGTGCGTGCGTGCGTGTTGGGTAGAGAAGGGAGGTGGGGAGAGTAGGAGGTGTGAAGGAGAGGTTGGTGATGGTGTGGAAGGGATAGACTAGTGGTGACGGAGAGGGACAGGGGGATGTGTGTAGAGCCAGGGCTAGAAGGGATAGTGGCTAGTTAAGAGAGAGTCGTTCCAAACAACTTAAGTACAGGATGGTTGGGCAGTTAAGGAGTTAGACTTGATGGGCGTTTGAGGGTATCGGCAACTCTCGTCAACTCCAGATTGACTCAACAGGATATGATGATGGATGAGGAGATGACTGGGGAGGAAGGGGGAGGGAGAGGGGGAGGAGGGAGGTGGTAGGGGAGGAGGAGGGAGGTGGTGCTTGGGGAGGAGGAGGAGGAGGTGGTGCTTGGGAGGAGAGGAGGTGGTACTTGGGGAGGAGGAGGGGGTGGTGCTTGGGGAGGAGGAGGAGGTGGTGCTTTGGGGAGGGATGAGGGAGGTGGTGCTTGGGAGGATGAGGGAGGTGGTGCTTGGGAGGAGGAGGGGGTGGTGCTTGGGGAGGAGGAGGTGGTGCTTGCTGGGAGGATGAGGGAGGTGGTGGGGAGGATGAGGAGGTGGTTGCTTGGGGAGGAGGAGGGGTGGTGGAGGGAGGAGGAGGAGGTGGTGCTTGGGGAGGAGGATGAGAGGTGGTGCTGGGGATGGGGAGGTGGTGAGGGAGGGGGAGGAGGTGGTGTGTGCTTGGGGAGGAGGGAGGAGGTGGTGCTTGGGGAGGATGGAGGAGGTGGTGCTTGGGAGGAGGAGGTGGTGCTTGGGAGGAGGAGGTGAGGGAGGGTGGAGGGGAGGAGGAGGGAGGGAGGAGGAGGAGGTGGTGCTTGGGGAGGAGGAGGAGGTGGTGCTTGGGGAGGAGGAGGAGGTGGTGCTTGGGAAGAAGGAGGAGGTGGTGCTTGGGGAGGAGGAGGAGGGAGGTGGTGCTTGGGGAGGATGACGTGTGGGGACAATGGAGGAGAGAGGAGAAGCGATGTAATAGAAAAGGAACTGGAAGAAACGCAATAGACGAGAAGGAGAGGTGACACAAGAGGTGATGAAGGAGAGGTGACACAAGAGGTGATGAAGGGGAGGTGACACAAGAGGTGATGAAGGGGAGGATGTACAATAGATAAAGATGGTGGGGACGTGTACTGATAGAGGATAGGAACCTAACCTAACCTTAAAACCATTACGATTGAGACTCATTAGAATTAGGGCCGATTAAACCTGGACCCATTAGAATGGACCCTTACTCCCAATGGGCCCAATCTTTATGGTGAAATTAGGTCAGATTTGTATGTATATTATGTATGTTGTATGTATATCATGTATGTACTCCGTTTATATATATTACTTATTAGCCAGCAGCGTGTGGCAATGCTTTTATCATGTCACCACACGCTTAGATAATGTGCCTGGCGACATCTGGAAGCTGCTAATGTATCACTTGCCACATGTCTCCTGAGAGGTCAGAGAGAGGTCAGTTGACCCATAGAGAGTGTAGGGGAGAGCCGTCTTTGCTTGCACCTCTGTATAGATCCAGCAAATAGAACCTACAAAAACTCTACAGGTGTTTGTGTTCGCTCCTGTAGTTAGAATTGAGTACCCTGAACATGTACAAGATTGGGGGTGAACGAGGCTGGGTCAGGGTGACCAGTCAACACTAGAGGTGTGGGACCTCCCGATGACTCACCCTCCAGCGGGCTGCCTGGCGCGTCGTGAGGTGTACGATCAGCTGGTACTTATGACTGTTGTAAAGTGTGCAGTCACGTGCGTTATGCGGAAACTCACGTTGTAAGGTTCGAGGTGTGTGTGTGTGTGTGTGTGTGTGTGTGTGTGTGTGTGTGTGTGTGTACTTTTTCTATTATTATGAGTGTTGTGTGAGTATGTGAACGTTTACATATGCACAGGCACACTTGCGTGTTAAAACTCGTGAACACATGTACACACACGCAGGCAGTCAGGCGGAGATAGAGAAATAAAGTTCATACTGACAAGTGGCAAGAAGGAAGGGAGATACAAAGAGAAAGAGTGAGAGAGAAAATGATAAAAGATAGACTGACTAAAATAAGAAACCTGATGTTCCCCTTAAATATTCAATCAACACTATACAGTCCACATCTTCACTGATTCCTAGCAATGAAATACTATTACTAATAATTTAAATTTTATTTTTGAATATCAGGAAAAAGAATTGCATGCGCACACAAGTCGTCAAGGCGGATAACACTACACATCACCACCTTCCTAACGGGGCGTAATAGCGGAAGATGTCTGTAGTTTTTTCTCTTCAGTGATTTTTGTAATGTTGTGATTTGAAAACCTGTAATTGTAATTTTAACCGCACCTGTATCTGTACTTATAGCTGTACGTGTACATGTTTCTATATATGTATTTCTGCCTGAAATACATATACACACCTGCATATGTAGCTACATCTGTATTTGTTTATGTACCTGTACCCGTCCCAATGTGGTGTACCCCAAGGTGGCTCCGGCGGCCATTGCTGATCATTACCTCAGATGATCAGCGCTTTGTCGTGACACCATCAAGGCTCCCTCACACACTCCACTCCTTGTGAATTTAATTAAACTCTGTGAAAGGAACCGTGGAGCGGTGGGCTGGGTGCTCGGCGTCAGTAACCTTGGGAGGGGGGTTGAACTCGGCCTCAGATCACAGCAAAATCATGTCCTGCCTCCTGTGTGTGCACCAAGACCCAGGTCAGACAGACACGGACGTTGGTGGGGCCCGTTTAACTCGTTACCAGATGTGATTTTTAAGTTGATAACGAGGTGTAATGAAATGTGTTATACCGCTTTGATGATGATGATGACAATGACAATGATAATAATAATAATAATAATAATAATAATAATAATAATAATAATAATAATAATACCAGTTTGTGAGGTAAATAATAATGGATTTATTGGGTTTAGTCTGACCTTTGATGTTAGTTTGTATTATATTTAATTATTTAATTGGTTAATTGCTTTTATGGTCAACGGGGAAGTGGTGTGTGTGTGTGTATCGGGAGGGAGGCGGGGATACAGGTGTGGGAGTGACAGTACAGGTGTGTGGGCGGCCGTGGGTTCAGCGTGGGGACGGCCCACGGTCACCTGGGCACTGCAACATCCGGACTCTCCAACCCTCCCCACTCTCTGCCTCCTCCTCCCTCCCCTCCTGCCCCTCCTCCCTCCCCACTCAGCCCTCCTCCCTCCCCACTGCCCCTCCTCCTCCCTCACTGCCCTCCGCCTCCCTCCCCACTCCTGCCCTCCGCCTCCCTCCCCACTCACCGACCCTCCACTTCCACCCTCCCTCATCACTCTCCATCTTTACCCTCCCCTCTTTCATCAACCCTCCATCCTTAACTCCCTCCCTCGCCATCCCTCCTCCAGTCACTTTTTACCACCTCCCTTCCCTCCCTCCACCCTCTCCCCTTAGTTTGTTCACCTCTCCACTCCCTGATTGCCCCTCCCTCCATCTCTCCTCGTCTCTACCTTCTTCCTCCTCTCACTTGCCTCTTAACTCCTCCCTTCTCACCTTCTATCTCTCGACCCTCTCCCACCTCTCTCACCTTCCCCGCTCACTTTCATTCCTCCCAACTCCTCTTCCTCCTCTGCCCTCTCTCCCTTCACACCCCCTTTCGCCCCTCCCAGGACGTTCATCACGCACTGTTACCTCCCTCACCTGGGGTCTTCATTGACCTACCTCTGGCCCTCATCCTCTTTCTTCGCCCTCCTCCTCTCCCTCCGGTGCCTGGCTCTATCCCACACCCCCTTTCCCTGACCTGTCACTTCAACAGTCAGACACGTTTCCCCAGGAGTTGGCTGGTTGGAGCACTTTGCCCACTGTTGGTCCAGCCAGGTCAGTAAAGCACTTACTCGAGAGACTTTAACGCCTCGTCTTAGGTTGACTCGAGGTATCTGTTCACTGAGGCGAATAATACAGTGGTTTATCGGCTTCTCACCTGTGTTTGTTTAGTCAGCTCACTGTCCACATTTCATGATCTTACTGATGGATGTTTTTTGTTCCCTACGTGAGGGATTTTTTTTTTCTTAACGTAGCCAGTGACTGAGTTTTTGTCACCCCTGATTTTATTTTACGAGTGAAAATACAGGTTTGTCTATAAATAACTGACAGTGGGTGGGTATGTGTGTGTGGGTGGGTTGGTATGTGTGGGTGTGGATGTAGGTTTGTGTGGGTGGGTGGGTGGGGGAGTTACTTTCTATGCATAATATCGTGCATGTATGTATTTATTATTTACTTTTCCTCTACTTAATTTTTTTTTTACAATATCTTTAAATTCTGGTTATGTTGCCATCTTTTATTACCTTAACTATTATATATTTCTGTCAGTAATATCGTCCATTAATATTTTTATTATGTCTGGTAATATTATTTCTATTTATGATCTGTATTTTATTATGACAATTGATTTCATCAGTTTTAGGTGATTGTAATTTTTTGTGATTTAATTTTAATTTTCATTGATAATTTGGTATTTTATGATTTGTATTTTTATCTATTCATGTTTTTTGTTTCTTTCAATAATGTCGTATTTTGTTTTTGTCAATAATGGCGTCTTTTGTGTTGCAGGTTGGTGTGTTGGCCGTGACGTGAGGAAGATGGTTGGTGTAGGAGTCCTCACCTTCACCACCTGCCGCAGCTGATCGTGACACACTCGGGTATGTGTGTGTGTGTCTGTCTGTCTGTCTGTCTGTCTGTCTGTCTGTCTGTCTGTCTGTCTGTCTGTCTGTCTGTCTGTCTGTGTGTGTGTGTGTGTGTAAAAACAAATCATTATTCTATCTGTCAACTTGCTGCCAGTCTTCTCTTCCTCCTCACCTGTTAACGCTACATTGGCAGATTAACCTGTGTTTGTAATTAACTGTTATGCTGCGGGTTAGGTGAGGCTCAGTAGTAAGGTCAGCTAGATGTTTCTCCAAGTTATCAGCTCAAGGGTGATCAGGTTTTCGAGTCTCTACCATATTAGGCGAGATGGTTATGGGAGGCTGTATCTTGAGGGAAAAAAGTGAAACTAGTGATAATTCAAACACAATTATACCAAATTATAGATTCTCCAGTGATTAAATTATATGCCGTACACTATAAGTCGTAATAACTTTATCATACTTTGAAAAGTTTTGTTGGCTAAAGTTTGCTGGACTTTAATTAGAATCTTCGTAGTATTTTATATAATAAACTTTTACCACATAATACAGTATTAATATCTTTAATATAATGTATTTTATCTCCCCAAATTAGTATGTGGTTATAGTAACAAAACAACTCTAACTGTATTTAAAGGTAAACAACTGAATAAATTAATCGACATGATGTTGACCGGAGGTGTTTGGACAAGTATCTGGTCACGGCAAATAACCGTGTCATCTTTGAGGCTCTTGTCAACTGTGTTTGTTTTCTCTCGTCGTGCTGGTCGACTCAGCTGATCTATAAGTTCTACAACACGACACAGTTGGCAGTTTTGTCTGTTTTCATTTATATATACAAACATTCTTGCTCCCAGCGGTTGATGGCCTTGACGTAGTGAGGAATTAGAGGAACATTGTATAAGGCAGGTACAGTAAATGGCTTTATTGGTTGTCGTACTAACTGTTGACTATTTTACCAAACATTATGGAATCTTCATCATATCTCCATTATATAATTTTGATATCTGTAGATCATTTTACGAGCTATATCAATATTTCGTTCACAACAACATTGAAAGACACTGTAATTGCTTTTCGTTTACCTCACCCTCGACATTTGACCCTATGACCCTTGACCCTGTGACCCTTAACCCTTTGACCCTTAACCTTATGACCCTCGATACTTGACCCTGAAAACCCCAGTAAGCACACCACAGATTTGAGAGTTGTTTACATGTGTGTGTGTGTGTCATGGTCAGTGTTACATTGATCTGTTGTTTGTTGTGGAGTTGGTCGCTCGGGTCTTCCTCCTCCTCCTCCTCACCCTCCCCCTCTTCCTCACCCTCTTCCTCCTCCTCTATTTATTGGTCCTGTCTCTCTTCTCGTGTTATTCCCATCTCGCGGGGTAGAGTGTAAAGCGAATTTGGGAACTGGGGAAGAAAGATAAATAACCCACGAAATACAAGTGTGTGTGTGTGTGTGTGTGTGTGTGTGTGTGTGTGTGTGTACAAACCCGAGAACAATCACTTACACAACTATAGTGTCGGTATGTGAAAGTGTGTCGGGTATATCGGGACTCTGAGATAAGTGTGACGTCATACACAGGTGTCATGTCATGCGTGAGGTGTAATGAACAGGTATTTGGGGAGGGGGAGGGGAGTACTTTATGACATGACTGTATTATTAATGAGGAAATGTAGATATGGTGGTGATAGGTGGATGGTAAGTGAAGGGTGGTAGGTGGTGAGGAGTCGTGGTTCGTTGGTGGGTGATAGTGGTGATGCGGTCGTGGTTCGTTGGTGGGTGATAGTGGTGATGGTGGTGGTCGTGGTTCGTGTCGTGGTGATGGGTGATAGTGGTGATGGTGGTAGACGTGGTTCGTTGGTGGGTGATAGTGGTGATGGTGGTGGTCGTGGTTCGTTGTTGGTGGGGTGAGTGGTGATGGTCAGTGGTTCGTGGTTCGTGGTGATAGTGGTGATGGTGGCAGTCGTGGTTCGTTGGTGGGTGGTGTGGTGGTGGTGGTGGTAGTCGTGGTTCGTTGGTGGGTGTAGTGGTGATGGTGGTAGTCGTATTCGTTGGTGGGTGATAGTGGTGATGGTAGTGGTTCGTTGGTGGGTGATAGTGGTGATGGTGGTGAGTCGTGGTTCGTTGGTGGGTGGTAGTGGTGATGGTGGTAGTCGTGATTCGTTGGTGGGTGATAGTGGTGATGGTGGCAGTCGTGGTTCGTTGATGGTGGGTGGTAGTGATGGTGGTAGTCGTGGTTCGTTGGTGGGTGGTAGTGGTGATGGTGGCAGTCGTGGTTCGTGGTGGGTGGTAGTGGTGATGGTGGCAGTCGTGGTTCGTTGGTGGGTGATAGTGGTGATGGTGGCAGTCGTGGTTCGTTGGTGGGTGGTGGTGGTGATGGTGGTAGACGGTTCGTTGATGGGTGATAGTGATGGTGGTAGTCGTGGTTCGTTGGTGGGTGATAGTGGTGATGGTGGCAGTCGTGGTTCGTGGTGGGTGGTGATGGTGGTGTCGTGATTCGTTGGTGGTGATGGTGGCAGTGGTGGATGGTGGTGTCGTGGTCTGTTGGTGGGTGGTAGGTGGTGATGGTGGTAGTCGTGGTTCGTTGGTGGGTGGTAGTGGTGATGGTGGCAGTCGTGGTTCGTTGGTGGGTGGTAGTGGTGATGGTGGCAGTCGTGGTTCGTTGGTGGGTGATAGTGGTGTGGTAGTCGTGATTCGTTGGTGGGTGTAGTGGTGATGGTGGCAGTCGTGGTTCGTTGGTGGGTGGTAGGTGATGGTGGCAGTCGTGGTTCGTTGTGGGTGATAGTGGTGATGGTGGCAGTCGTGGTTCGTTGGTGGTGGTAGTGGTGATGGTGGCAGTCGTGGTTCGTTGGTGGGTGGTAGTGGTGATGGTGGTAGTCGTGGTTCGTTGGGTGGTAGTGGTGATGGTAGTCGTGGTTCGTTGTGATTGGTGTGGTGGTGGTAGTGAGTGGTGATGGTGGTAGTCGTGGTTCGTTGGTGGGTGGTAGTGGTGATGGTGGTAGTCGTAGTGTGGTAGGTGGTGATGGTGGTAGTCGTGATTCGTTGGTGGGGTAGTAGTGGATGGGTGTTACAGGTGGGTGATGGTGGATGGGCTTTAAATGTTGTGTTGGAAAATGAAGGAGGATTTAGAGTTAAGAGCAGAGGATTATGGGACTGGTGGAGTGGGAGGAGACGGGAGCAGTTATGGGTTGGTGTTGAGGGCGAGTCTTGGTGTTGTTGGTGTTGAGGGCGAGTCTGGTGTTGAGGGCGAGTTGGTCTTGGTGTTGAGGGCGAGTCTTGGTGTTGAAGTGAGTCTTGGTGTTGAATCAGGTGTTGAGGTTGGAGGACTTGTCTTAGTGTTGAGGGCGAGTCTTGGTGTTGAGGACGAGTCTTGGTCTTGAGGACGAGTCTTGTGTTGAGGAGGACGAGTCTTGGTGTTGAGGACGAGTCTTAGTGTTGAGGACGAGTCTTGGTGTTGAGGGCGAGTTGGTGTAGACTTGGCGTTGATACTGACGTGGAAATATATGGGTGAGTGAGAGTGTGGTGGGGTGGGTACGTGAGTGGGCTGGGGGTGGGTGGGTGGGTGGATTTGCACCTATCACATAAAATTCCGGGATGATGGCGATGATGTTTCCTGTGTGTTAAGCCTCGTCATCCACTCTGTGTGTGTGGGGGTGTGGGGGGTGAGGGTGTAGGTGTGGGGTTTCTGTGTCCGGTATATTGAGTGTTCCGTTATATGTTGTAAATACCGGGACCATTGTTGACACTACATCCGGTTGGTGTTGTTGGTTCTGTCTGGTTGTGTGTATAATTTTGTTAACACTTCGAGGACCATGGTTTAACTCCTTCCCCCTTTGAAGATTAAAGGCTGAATGCTCGTCTTTAAATAGTTATTGTTTAAACCTCTTAGTTTTATTTTAGGTTAGAATATCTTGTTCAAAGGGTTAAACCATATCCCGCTGCCCTGAAAGGCTTATAACTTAAGCCATCGTCCTCAGAGGGCTGTTTCCCCGCCCAGTAAAGATAGAGAGAGAGAGATGGTGTCCGTCAGTCCTGCCTCCGTGTGTCTGTCTCGACGTTCCGTGGTATTGTATTTTAATCTCCGGCTCAGCGAAGTTGTGGGGAAGGGAGAGGGGGAGGGGTATAAAAATGGCTTCTTTCTGTCTGTCTGTCTGAGTTTTGTTTCCGGGGCATCAGTAAAAAAAAACCCGCTATTTTAGTGAAATATTTTTGCTTAAATTAACTTGATAAAGAAACTGGGACCTATGTGAACGAGATTGATTAGTAAGGTTAGAGTATACTGTGCCAGATGGTAAACCGTCAAAGGTAAACTAACTTGAATAAAATTTTACATTGTCTTCATGATGTTGAGGTCAAGTATCTCGCCTGTGTGTGTGAGTGAGACGCCTGTACTGCCACATCACATTTACGATCAAGTGTTGGCAGGAAGTTTATGGTGTGATAACTACGCTGTCTCCGGCCACACAGAACCACTGACTCACCCAGATAAACTTTAGAATTAACTTTATAGCGATATCAAATCCTAGACGTGAAAAATGTACTGTACCTTCACACTGCATGAAAAGTTGTCTGGTCCTGTTAAAAAAAAACTTGACTGCCTCGTGAGGATACAGGTACTTGGCCAGGCAGTGTGTGTTTATTTCCAGTACAGGTAATGTTTTCCTGGAAGCCTGCAGTTATCACAGTTCCTCGTATGACACACGTGTTATCCTCGTTTGTTTAATTACTCCCCTGTGTAATTATAGGTGATTGAGTGTTAAATACCTGGTAATAATTGCTATCCTCTTTAGTTTCGGGTAGGACTGGTAATTAGGGTACTTAGCTTGGGCAGTGCCATGGTGTGGGTGGTGGTGATGGTGGTGTGGTTTGGTGTATGGTGATGGTGGTGTGGTCTGGTGTATGGTGATGTGGTGATGGCGTAGTGCTTGCTCAAGGAGTTAATATAACACAGTCTGGTCACCTCCCGACTTATGAGACATTATTTATTGATACGATTATCTTTATTTTAATGT